TGCCGTAAAGAGGAAATATTTAAAATCCATCAACTAATGCGATGAGACAATAAACAGAATTGTGTGTAATGTGGTATTATATGATCTGGAGAAAAGTAAAGCAAGAGAGGAGGGCAGGGAGTGCCCCCAGACAGTTTCCATTTTAAGTAGGTTGTTCAAGGAAGGCTGCCAGGAGAAGAGGATATTTGAAGCCTAGGAAATAAGCCATGGGTGTAACTTGGGAGCGTGTGATTGGTAGAAGGAGCTAAGGCTCCTTCGTAGAGCGGTCTCTTGTGTTCAGCAAACGGAAATGGCGTCTGGAGGGCAGGGGAGGTTGAGGGTTGAAAGAGGCTCTCAGGGCTGTACAGTGAAAACAGTGGAGCAAGAAAAACAGGAGAATGTTGTAATTCTCCGGCCAAGAGGGGATTGCAATTTGGACCAAGGTAGTAGCCGAAGAGGTGCTCAGTAGCTAATGAATGTGCAATGTAGGTGAAAGAAAATTCAAGATGCACTTCAAGCATTTGTGCCTAAGGAATTGGAAGAATGGAGCCATTAACCAAAACTTGTGTGGGCATGATGTTCCTGAATTGGTTTTACTATTTTGAAAACTTGGTTTGATGCTTTGTGGTTGAATCCATACTAAGAGGTCATTTACTGTGGAGAATATATCTTCTCCAGTATATCTTTCCTTAAAGGTTCAAAAAATTATAGTTTATTTTAAAAACATTAAGTGTTTATAAGTGCTTAAATATACCTAGCTCTATCCTAAATGATATGTGGTAGATGGTTTTGTTAATCCCATATTTCTAATAAAGAAATGGAAACAGCGAGAGGATAAGTAACATCCTGAAGGTCATATATAGAATCTGTTTTCAAAACCTGACCTCTTGGGTTTCCCTGGTGGCGCAGTGGTTGAGAGTCCGCCTGCCGGTGCAGGGGAAACGGGTTCGTGCCCCGGTCCGGGAAGATCCCACATGCCGAGGAGCGGCTGGGCCCGTGAGCCATGGCCGCTGAGCTTGAGCGTCCGGAGCCTGTGCTCCGCAATGGGAGAGGCCACAGCAGTGAGAGGCCCGCTTACCACAAAAAAATTAAAAAAAAAAAAAAAAAAAAACCTGACCTCTTTAGTCTGCTTCCTCTCAGGTGTTTGTTTTTGTTTTTTTTGTATTTTGTTTCTAAAGAAGAATCTAGAGTTTCCCGGGGCTGATAGTGGTGGAGGGAATGACTACAAAGGGGCACAAGAGAACTGGGGGTGAAGGATATATTCTATACCTTGATTTTGGTGGTACGTTCTCACACAACTTTATGCATCAAAATAGACTTGTACATTACATAATTATATATCAATAAACCTGATTTTAAAAAATAATCTAACAAATAGCATAAATTAATGCATGTTGGAAAAACATATAATTTGTCCAAAGGCAAAACAAATCCCTCATACTACATAATTTGTTCTAATACTTTTTTTTTCTGGTTAAAATAATGTTTTTCATGTCATCTTCCAACAGTATTTGGTGATAAAGTAATACAATTTTATTTGTTGCCATATAATTTATCTTGTGTCATTTCAACCATTTTTACCACAGCAGGGAGAACTAGGGTTTTTTCCAATGATTTCATTCCTTCCCCCCAGGAAATCTCAAATAAGGCTTCTAAACATTTATCATAAATTTAGTGAAAATTTGTAAATGATTAGATTGAGCATGACTTCAAACATTGCTGAAAAACCCAGAGAGGTGTGCACTTGTGTTCCAGATGTTATTAAAAATCTTGCTATTAATGATGTTGTGTACTATATATACTATATTAATGATGTACTATAGTACATCAGTACTATAGTACATATAGTACTATATGTACTATAGTACATATAGTACTATATGTACTATATATACTATATTAATGATGCTGTGTACTTATACCGCAAGACAAATATGTCCTTAGGCCAAGTTTAATCACATATGGTATGAGATTATTTTGTTTTTGCTATCCTTAATAAATCTGAGTAGCTTATCAATGTTTATCATATAATAACTCTGAAAATATCCCTTAACAGGAATAGAGAAAACACCAGCTCTACCATTTTTTATTGTTGACTTATGCATGTATTGTTTAAATATGAGAACCAGTCTAGTTTAAATTTGGCAATAATTACATTGAATGCACTTATCCAAACTCATGTAACATCAGTACACTAAAATACTCTTAAAAACAAACACTGCTAGGGCTTCCCTGGTGGCGCAGTGGTTGAGAGTCCGCCTGCCAGTGCAGGGCACGTGGGTTCGTGTCCCGGTCCGGGAGGATCCCACATGACGCGGAGCGGCTGGGCCCGTGAGCCATGGCCGCTGAGCCTGCGCGTCCGGAGCCTGTGCTCCGCAACGGGAGAAGCCACAACAGTGAGAGGCCGGTGTACCGCAAAAAACAAAAACAAGAAAAAAAACAAACAAACAAACAAAAAACACTGCTATCAAAATCCAATTAGATATCACTTGACATCCATCAGAATGGTTATAATTCAAAATGACAATAACTTTTGGCTAGAATATGATGAAATTAGAACACTCATACATTTTGGTGGGAATGTAAAATGGTATAGCCACTTTGGAAAGCAATTTGGAAGTTCCTCAAATGATAAAACATGCAGTTACCATATGACCCAGCAATTCCACCCCAGGTATATACCTATGAGAAATGAATACATATGTCTACACAAAAACTTGGATATAAATGTTCATAGTAGCATTACTCATAATAGCCAAGAAGTATAAAAAAAAACCCAATGTCTGTCAACTGATGAATGGATCAGCAAAATGTGATATTATTACTATTATCCATGCATAAAAATTAAGTCCTGATTCACACAAGGGTGAAACTTGAAAACATTACGTTAAGTGAAAAGGGCAGATACAAAAATATTGTATGATTCCATTTATATGGTAAATTCATAGCAGCCAAAGGTATATTAGTGGCTGCCAGGGGATGGGGTGAGGGAGGAATAAGGAGTAACTGCTCGTGAGTACAAAGTTTCTTTTAGGAATGAAAAAAATTTCTAGATTAGATAGTGGTGACAATTACACAACTTTGTGAATATGCTAAAAACCACTGAATTGTATACTTTAAAAGGGTGAACTTACAGTACATGTATTATATTTCAATTAAAAAACAAGGAAGCAAACATTGTCAATCATTTAACACTGTAAAAATTCCTACAATTTTCCAGAAACGTCATATGTGGGGCCAGTAGCAGTCATTATATTAAATATTATAAGGCCTTTCTTTCTTATATTTCTTAATGAAAACAAGCATCAGGAGAGGTTCTGAAAATTTCTTCTCACAACCTTACAGATACCCTTGAGCACTCCATAGAGACAGCTTAATGGAAAATTAAGCATTCGTCTGGCAAACATGATATATTACATGGGCTGCTCCAAATCTACTTTTCCAGACTCATATCTTAACATTGTTCTACCACGTGTGTAACCCTTCAGCAACAAAGTAAATATCAATCCTTCAGTGGCCATCCCTTGCTCTATATGCTCTTTCACAAGCTGTTCTGTTAGTCTGGAATGCATGACCTCACCTTCTCTGTCTCAACAACCTCCTCAGTGAATTTCACAGCCTCCATGAAGGTTTCAAGAGCCTCCAGCAAAAGTGAGCTGCTCCCACGTTTGTTTCCTTAGCAGTTTGCCACTGACCCTTTTAAAATGTATACAGTAATTTCTATAGAGCTTCATATCTTTCCCACCAGCATTTAATTTCTCCAAAGCAAGACGTCTAAGTTTTGCTTGGCTTAATTTTTTTAAAAAAATGATTCAATCAGCCTAAATTTATTTCTTTCACTAAGCACCAAAAAACCCATTTTATTCAAGTCAGTAAAAGAATGTCTGTAAACTTTATCTGCCAACATATAGATAGCTAGCAAATACAAATAAAGTAGATTCAATCATATCTATTCTGGAAAAGAGGGATAATATTATTTGTTTGCATTTGTGAATGTGTGCAGAAGAAAGCAGTGACAAAGAAATTAAAACAAAAATATCTAAAAGAAGAGACATCAAGGGGACATTTTAGGATCTACAAAGGTGAGTGTAATGTTTTTATACTCTTAAGTTAGTACTCTTAGAGTAAAAAGGAAAATACAGAATCTTTGAAAATAGGTTTATAATGATTTATAGTACATACAAATTATATTAACAATTCAAAATTAAATGAACATGATTTTAATATAAAGAAAATTAAAAAGTTATTTCTACTTTTAAGCTGCATATTTATAAGAATTTACATTCTAGAAATTACAAAATTGCTTTAAGGAAGTTAACTTTAGTAACTTTAAGAAGAAAGGAAATTCCAATTTATTGTTGATTGATTAATATAAAGGCCTGTTTAGCCTTCAAATGATTGCTGAAGAAGATGCAAATATGTGTTCTGGCCTAAGGTTATACTCCTTGAAGTCTCTTAGGTTGTACTCTATATATATATTTGTGATAAATAAAAACACTTTTGAAAAGGACGTGCTTTATGTTAAACAGCTTGGTCTATAAAATGCATACATTTTATTTCCTAATATTGACATTCACTATCACAGATATGTAATTGAGAGCAAATGGAATGAATTAAGCAAAAATGGCTTTAATGAACTGTGTCATATACATGTACTAATTTCTTAAAAATCTGAATAGTTATTCCATATTAGTTAAGAGAGTAAGACAGCAATGTGTCTTTTAAAGGAGGTAGAAAGCTACTGAAATTATTTATTTTTAGTAGCCCATTTATTTTTCATACAGCTGGAGTACACTTCCCCACAACAGCAAATACTTTGAAGTATATTATTTACATTTTTGTTCACAAGAAATGTCTATTTTCCAAAAATATGTAAAATTTCATTTCAGTAGCCCATTAAACAATATGTTAAATTTTCAATATGATACTTATAAAAACAGATACTAACTTGAATATAAACATATAAAATACACTTTGAAATTACTAACAATCATGATTCCCAACAATAATTTAATAATTACCTTAATTTGCTCTTCAGTTGCTAAAAATCCATGTTTTTTTCCTCCGATTTACTGAACATTTAAACATTTCTGTAAAAAAAAGTTAATTAGATGATGAGAAAAAATATACATTTTATTTTATGGTTATAGTTGTAGGACTACTTGAATAGACTTGTGTATTTCTTATTGTTTGTCAAGTGTATTTTTTCCCACAATGCATGGGGTGTAGCAGCAGAACCATGTGTAAAAACGAATTTCAATTTACATGTGACCTATATTTGTACACCATCACATTACTATAATGTTCACTGGGAAAAGTGAATGAATTTGATAGGCATGGAATTTAAATATTTTCCTAATTCAATGAACACACAAGGTTTTAAAATAAATTCTGAGATTTCCAAGAAATGTTCTGGTTTCTTGCAATAGGCACTTCTAGCTAAGATCCTGGGTGTGTTTAACCACTTTTATTACTAGAACTGCTGTGAGAAAAAAATTGGAGGAAGACCTTACTATATCTCCCTACTCCATCATACATATACACACAAACACAAAAAATACACATGCTCTGTGTATTCATGTATAAATACAGAAGCTATGATTACAATAATTTAGACAATTTCAGATTTTAAAAATATTAGAAAGGAATAAACAATGAGAGTTTACTTAAATGGTAGATTTTGGTCTTCATTTTCTGTAAATTACCATAGCATTTTCTATTTTTGTTATTATTAAAATAATATCAATGTCAGACATTTTACAAAAAAAGGAATAATGTAAAGACATATATATATAAAGTATATCTATATATACTCTCTATATATAGTATACTTTATATACACATATAAAGTAAATTGTAAAAAGGAGTAATGTCCTTCAAGGTATTCTCTGAAATTTCAGTGTTTTCTAAGTGTTATGCAACTGGTCCTATCAACTTTTGAACTTTCCAGTGAGTCCACTTAATGCTTTATACAAGCATCACCTGTATTAATTATTATGATACTTAGTATTTATTACACTATTAGTAGTATTATAGTAGTATTATGCTATTAGCAGAAGGTTAAGAAATCGTGTACATGCCAAAACAATGACAAAATCTATTATCTATTCTAGAATCTTGTCCCCCAAATGGATAAGGAATTAGATACAGGCAGAAAGTCATTAGCATAAAACTAAAATTGAATTCTCCTTTACAGAATCACTATTGATTACCATCAGATATGTATGAAAACAAATTAGTGGAAAAATATTCACTAGTAGAATCATTATATTTTGCTTGAGCATTTTAAAACATTAAAGCAATAGAACTCACTGTATTTTTTCCAGTGAATATCTACCCATATTTGGCCAATCAATGAGGTTTGGTACAAGAGCAATCCAAGTCCATGTTTGAATGGCACATTTGACCACTTGAACAGGAACCTGAAAGCAATTTTTTCATCAACTTCTTGAATTTCCCTGTACAAGTCTTCTTTCAACAAATTGAATATGTTCCTTGAATAATTATTGGCTAAAATACCAATAAGGTATTTTTCCCTGTTTTTTGAAGAAAAACCATGTCCCACCTTGTAAATATTCTACATATCTGGGCAATCACGGGTAATGACAGCACAGGTTCTCCTCCAAATATCCTCGTGCTTTAGATCTTTTTTTCTCCCATTTAGGAAATACATTCTGAAATCCAAACATAACTTATTCCACAACATTCTCCCTGATAGCACCAGAACGACTACGCCACAGACAGAGACAAGCAGATTTTCCCTGATGCTCTGTTACCTCTTTGTGTATTCTTCTATTTTGCTGGACCCTACATTGTAATGTGGATTGTTTGAGAACAGGGGTTGTGACTACTTGTTCAATTTCCATTACCCCTCCCTAAAGAACAAAGCCCCTAATACAGCCTCAAAAATGCTGACTGGGTGAACAAAACAATTTTTTTAGTTAAAAATTAAAATTATTAATTGGAAACTGTCTGTATTGACCTTACATAAATTGATACCAAGAACAAAAGTGCACCATTATAGGTGCCTTTGATTTTGTTTGCATAACTATCTCTGTAGGTCATATTTCTATTGATACAGAAGAATAGAGATTCTCCAACTTACAGTATGGCTATTCAACGTCTCAGTACTTCACTCAATTACAGCCACTTAAGGGACTTACGAGTTGTAGACAACTCAGAGGAAAGAACAAGCACACACAGGGTCACTTAGCCTCCTAAGAGGAGGAAGGTCAGGTCTGAGGTAAAACACAGAAAGGAAAAGAGGAGTGGACAGGTAAAGGGAATAGAAAAGCAGAGAAGGGCATGAAAAGGTATATCAAATGACACTGTTCTATCAGTATAAAGTAATAAGGCTTTTCTAATTAGTAAACTTTCTTTTCTAATTAGTAAATTAGAATTTACTAATTTCTTTTCTAGTTAGTAAACTTGCCTAAAAGGGATTTTTAAAAGAAAAGTCACGGGAATTATTTTTGAGCAATGTGACTACTTCGAAGGAAAACACTCATGGAAGACATAAGAATTTGATAAGTTTATATTTTCATGTTTTCGTTACTGTTCAAAAGTTATATAAAAAGCAATTCACAAGCAATTATTGCAATTCACTCTAGGTTTTAAGAATTAGATGGAAATACTTTGGATATGAATACTAGATTGCTTTAATTAAAAGTTAAAAGTTAAATTAGTCCATGCTTTAGATAAAATGTAAACAAACACATATATATCAAAAATGGAAATTAATATAACAATAAAGTTTGACTCTCCAATTTTAAAAAAATACATGATAAATATGAATGTTCAAGGTAAATTTTCTAATACTGAGCTAGCAAGTGTAAAAAGTAAAGCAGCTTCCTCCCTTCCTTCCTTCCTTCCTTCACTTAGCAATTAAATATTTACCCTGTGTCAAGGCACTGTTCTAGGTACTATGGATTCAGAAGTGAAGTGAACAGACAAAAATATCACTTATAGAGTTTACACATCATTCTCAATGGGGATTAAGACAAAATGAGAAAAGAGAGAAAGAGAAAAAGAGAAAGTCTGATTTTGTATTCTTAAGACTTTTAAAAGAATAATTTTTAAGTTTTAAACACTATTTTCTGAACAATTTATATTCTCATTTAACTTAAAAAATTTTAAGGACTAAAACACTTTATTTATATTCTCATTTAACCTTTACAAAAATCTTCTGAGATTGGTATGAATGCTATCTTCTAGTTTACAAATAAATATTCTAAGACACTAAGTGGTAAAATCAGAATTTGATCACAAGTAGTCCAAATTCAGAGTCTATACCCTCAAGCTTCTCAATAGCATTATACTGACTATTAGTGTCCATATATGTTACGAGGATGTTTATATTGGAAGGAAAACAAGCTTCCTTAAATGAATTTTTCAGGAAACAGTCATCTCAGAATTTCCTAACATTGATAACTATTAGGAGGCACATTCACATTCTGATATTTAAATGAGATTCCCCAGGAAATCTCAGTAAAAATTAGTCTGGAGTTAAGAGGAAAAGACATTTTATTGTCTTTGTCTGTATGGCATTAATTCCAAAAGTATCTGACATCTTGTACTGAACTGTCCAGGAAAGGTTCATGAAGCAATAAAGAAGCGACATGTACAAACATATTTTTAAAAGATCATTCTGGTGTCAGTTAATAGATGGTCTGCAACCTAAGATGACAGTGACATTTTTAATGATCAATGAGAACTGAGATTTTATAAAAATACAATGAATCAAAGAAGTCATTATAAGGCAACATTTTTGTCTATGAGAGCTAGTCTTTCAATCATTTTCAGAATTAAACAAATAAATACTGGGTGCCACAATTTATTATCTGTGAAAGGAAGTATACGGCCTTCATACTATCATTTCAAACTATTTGGAAGTTAAGAAAATACAAGACAAAGCTCTATAAATAGATACATTAACAGCATTATTGACATTCCATCTCCATATCTTCAACTTGCCTTCAAGTGTTACCTCTTTAGTTGTGATGTTCAAATCATTTTTCCAACTACCCCCTTTCAGTCTTCCAATCTACTAGTCTATGAGTTATCTTCAAATATTTTCTACTTTAATTCCTTATTGATAACCGTCACCATGTACCACCATATTATTCTCTCTGCAGTGTTTAGATTCGTTTTTCATCTCTATTTCCATTAACATAATCATCCTAGCCACGTGAAGCAGGCAGAGGCAAAAATATTCCTATTTTACAGGTTAGAAAGCTGCAACTCATAAAGATTATCATGGTTATCAAGTAATAGTGCCAAAACAAGAATCCAAAGCATCTGACACTTAGTTTGGCCACCTGCTACTACATGTTGTCACCACTGGCCCCCATAACTGCCATACTGCAACAGCACCTTGGTACTCTTAGAGCACCATTCTATCCCCTTTTAAATCTACCTTGAAAACAGTTAACAGAATAATCTAATACCTCGTTTTCCTCAGTAATCCAAAAATGCACCCTATTGCTTACCACAGAGTCTGGCTTTCAAGACCCTCTATAGGATGAATACATTCTTTTCCATTATAAACATTTTTTGACACTACTCTACTCCATTAAACTGAATTTCCCCATCAGCCAGCTTGGGTTGCTGGCTGGTTCCTCAGACAGATTACAGCTCAGATAGAGTAGCTTGTTAAGGTAAACTCCATGAATTTAGCCTCAACACTTTGAGCACAAAAAAATCTCTAAAGTCCTGGTGCTTTTTTTTTTTTTTGCGGTACGCGGGCCTCTCACTGTTGTGGCCTCTCCCATTGCGGAGCACAGGCTCCGGACGCGCAGGCTCAGCGGCCATAGCTCACGGGCCTAGCCGCTCCGCGGCATGTGAGATCTTCCAGGACCGCGGCACGAATCCGCGTCCCCTGCATCGGCAGGAGGACTCTCAACCACTGCGCCACCAGGGAAGCCCTGCTGGTGCATTTTAAATCAAGAGGCAAAGTTTAATTCTAAATGCACCATATTTTTCACATGTGATAATTTAGAGGCCCCAAGAATGTATGCTATTTTATAAAGGAGAACACCTTAGGGTAGATTCTAAATCAATTATAAAACTAGACAAAATTGCCAAAAACAAC